ACAGGATCACCACCACTGGCCCAGAGTATGCGATTAATTAGAGAAGCCAGGTGAGGCTTGTGTGCCTGTGAGCAACATGGTAGCTTTTCTCTTCTAGGAGAAAGATCCAAGATCTCTACTCCTGACAGCTACATACGTTGGGGGATCTGGGAAGAATGTCCTCCGGATAGAAGGATTAGCCAGCCAGGGGCTAGGATCAGACTCCTGAGCATCAGAAGAGCCCTAAGGAGAAAATGGAGAAATATGGAATAGTAAGATTCATGACCAGGGGACACTGCTACCTAGCTCAGCTTAGTTAACCTGTGAATGTCTCTGCTGTGCCTTGTGTGTGGCATGTCTGTTGGTGTGTGCAGACTCTCGAGTTCTGGGGCTGGGGATTTAGCTCAGCGGCAAAGCGCCTGCCTGGCAAGTGCAAGATCGTGAGTTCAATTCCTGGTACTGGAAGAAAAACAAAAAACAAACAAAAACTACAGACGCTCGAGTTCGAAGAGCTGAGATTCTGTGATTCTGCATACTTAGTTCCCAATGCTATGGGTTCTGGCCCAACCCTGCAAGGGAGAACAGAATATGCACTGCTGGGAGAAATAGGGCTATGGAGACTGAGGTCATGTGCAAACTTTTGAGAAATCTCTGTGTGTGTGTTATATATACTTTAAATTTGCACTGTATACAACTGATGTACATAGGTACAAAACTCAAAGTATCTCTGTTTATACATCTTTGTGAGAAACAAACGGTATGTATTTTTATACATATGCAAATAGCTCTACTTTAAACTATTTTGGGGCATTTTATCATTATTTTCTTCTAAATATTATTTAATAATATTGTTTAATTTCCAGGGGGTTTATTTTGTGAAGAACTGTGTTTGTGTGCAAATAAAAACCTATCGATTTTAGCCACTGCCTCACCATCTACGAAGAGAAGTGCTGGAGTGTATGAACGTATGCATATATGGACCCCACACCATCATTGCTACACAATTTCATGGGGTGCTCTATGATTTCTTAATTTTTTTGTCAAAATTCGGTTTGCCTGTCACAATGTCCTTTTTATTTTTCCAAATTTACTTCCTTTAAAATGATGCATTTTTTTCTTTCGTATTTAGCTCTCTTCCATGACAGATTTTTTTAACTCCCTTGATACCGGAGATTGGACTCAGGGCTTTCACACTGAGCGGCCTCCCTAACTCTTTTTTACTTTTTGAGAGAGGGTCTCAATGAGACACTAAGTTGTTCAGGCCTAGCTTGAACTTGTGATTCTCCTGTCTCAGTCTCCCAGAGTGCTAGGAGTAGAGGTGTGTGCCACCACACTTGGCTGTTATAGATTTTTTAAAGGTAAATATCTTTTTTGTAAGGTATGACTTTGGCCTCATTCTGAAAACTTGACAAATAGTATTTTCATTATTTATTTCTTTATTTTTGTCTTTTTGAGACAGGGTCTCACTATGTATTTCAGGCTGGCCTTGCGCTCACTTTGTAGCACAGGTTGGTCTCAAACTCACAACAATCCTCCTGCCTCAGCCTCCCGAGTGCTGGGATTACAGGCATGCGCCACCAGGCCCGGCATATTTTCATTTTACTTACTGTTCAGTATTTTCTAATTATCAATATAATGCCTTATTGGACCTAGCATTACTCTACACTGAAGTACAGGTCATGTAGGTTTACTGACCAAACCTATTCTCTTTCTCGTCAAACCAAGGTTTCTTCAACACATCTCATAAATCTGCTGGGTATTTAGAGTCTTTTACTGGATTACATTTGGTTCTTTGATGTGGTCATTTCTATTTTAATTAACTTATATTGCTATGAGGACAGAGGTTGGGCCCCTTACTCATCACAGACTCAGAATTTAACAAGCGTGGCACACAGTGGGTATTTAACGCTGAGGTACAGCCCCAGCCTAGAAGCATGAATTTTAGAGGGAACAGCACTACTAGAAAGTGTAACGAGATAGATGTGTAGAGATAGTGACTTAACTCTAGATGAGATTAATCATGAGAAACTAGCTTCTGAGCTGGGTGTGGTGATGCATACCTGTAATCCCAGCACTCAGGCGGCTGGCGCAGGAGGACAGTTGCAAGTTCGAGGCCAGCCTGGACTACAAAGTGAGCTCAAGACCAGCCTGAACTGCATAGTGAGACCCTGTCTCAAAAAGACAAAAACAAAAAAACAAAAAAAACAAACTGAGCTTCTGCACACAGGCTGGAGCAAGTGGCCTGGCTTCAACTCTCCTTCAAGATTTATTTAGCCATGTGACAGGACACCTTATGAAATCTTCCTGTGCTTGTTTCCTTACTAGAAAACTGGTGATCATAATACAGTAACCCGTTTCATGAGGCATTATGTTTTAAAATCCATTATGTTTTGCTGTCACTGTAGTACACCCATGAGAATGATACATCAGGAAAAACAAGCCACCTAAAAGTAACATTTCAGACAATCTTAACTTATAAACTGAGCATCATCATCAGCAGTTTCTGTGTACCACTTGGCTCTTGCAGGAATGTTTCAGGAGTCCGGTCCCTATGGTTTCAGGGGGCACCTGGGTGTAGGTTTTACCGCTGTTGCCGCCCCATGTCTTGCTGACATTGTGGCTCTGGAGTTGCTGACTCTCTTCCTCCCCAGTCCCATCACATTCCAGGAGGTAGAGAAATTTAGATGGCCAAAATGGGAAAGACTGGGACGCCCTTATTTGTCTTGCACCCTCACAGTGTCCCCATTTGGATGGGAAGGTTTTATGCGACTCTATCTACAACTCCCCCTAAAAGGACACTTATGTAATGAACACTTGTATTAAAAGCTGACTTTGTTGCGGGCAATGTTCTAGGTGCTAGAATGCATTACAGAACAAGGTAGGTCCCTAATCTCATAGCTCCCTTTTGGTTGAAAACTCAGCATCACACAGATCTAGCTCCATTCATGTTAGCTCCTACCACTGTGATGTCAGAATCTAGAAGAGCACACTCGCCTGCCTCCACGGGTCCCTGGACAGCTTTTAGCTTTCTCGACAATGGAAGAGTAAACCACAGCCAAAGTTTACTTTGTCTCAGTGTCCTGGGCCCCTCCTAAGGCTGTACTACAAAAGCATCTGCCCGCATTCTCCCTGACCTACTTCTATTTTCTCTCCCCAGTGCCATCTCTTCTTTCTCGCAGTAACCGCCACAGGACTGACTTCTGTAAATTACGATTCTTTTGGTTGTCAAATGTCTGACATTTATTGTGTGTGTAGGAAGTAGCATGGTGCAATGACAGGAGACCTAATTTCTAGTCTGTACTTGGCTCTGACTCACTGTGTAATTTTGAAGGCATAAAAATTTCCCCATCTGGGATGTAAAATGAAGTAGTTAGGATTTCTCAGCATTTTTCTGAACCTTTACCAGTCTATGACTCCAGCTTTGTGTGGCCGATTACACGTTCATATTTGCTCGTGAGAGAATTATGGTGGAAGGGATTGATTTGGAAAGATACATGGAGATACCAGGCACAAGAAAGCAGCAGAGAAGCAGTAAGAAGAAAACATAAGCAGAAAACTGCTTGAGAAAAGGGTAAGGAAACGATATAACCGCAAGGTCAGAAACCCACCAATCCTCTGTGAGGAGCTCACACACAGGGAACGAATGAAATTTCCTGGCACGGAGCTGAAGATGTAATGGCTTTGCAAGGTAGGTGAGTCAGGGGACAAATGACACAGGGATTATAAGGGAGGCTTGGGGCTTTTAGGTGCTGAAAGGAACGTCTCAAGAAACCTACAGCTCCCCAGGAACTCAGAAATAAAGTAAGAGTATGAGGTAGAAGTGAGACCCAAAAAAAGTTTCGTTATGGTCAAAGCACAAATGGTTCCACAGCTTTGTGTACACTATCTTCCAGGCTCACTCACTTGCATCTTTCCTGTGTGAGGAAGGAAAGAACACCTCACTTCTGCCTGTAAGAAAGGGCACCAAATTCACTAGTGCTTGTACATGTGTGTGTTTGTGTACCCTTCAACAAGCACTAACTTCCTAACCAGAAGCCTGAAAAGTGAAGGCAAACGCTAAAGCCTTGTCCCCCACAGTACTTACCTGGCTCAGCCCAGAGCTCACAGGGGCCGAAGGACCCGCCACAGGGTCACCCGAGGCATCCAGAGAGGAACGTACCCGGAGGAAGGCCAGGCCAAAGGGTTGATGCTGTGTGAAGGGCTGGGAGCACGTCAGGCGAAGTCGATCCCATGACTCTCCAGAGACCGGAGCCAGGAAATCATCTCAAGGGAAAAAGAAAGAAACTGAAGGAAAAAGGGAACGATTAGCCGAGGGAGAAAGGAAGAGGTTAGTACTGACGAAAGGAAAGTAATGATAGAGGTGACACAGAGCAAACTCCAACAGGAGGAAGAACGGGGTCAGTCGTCAACGTTCCCCTCAGGCTGAGGGACTGGTCCTGCCGAGCAGGCCAGTCAGGGCCCTCACAGACCCAGTTCCTGTGCCTAGTGACTGTCACGCTTCCGTCTTGGCTCCACACTGTTCCAAGCTTGGGGACATCCCACTTCTCCAAGGACCTCATCAGTGTCTTGCTGACAGAAGGCACCTGCACTGCTGAGGTCTGGGGAGACCACTGGCCCAGTGGATTGTGAGATAGTGTCCCTTCCCGGACCACGAGACCTCAACCTTCCTCACCCTGCCACATGCCCTACAGCAGTGATGGCAGGTACCGATGGCACTGGGTTACTGTGTTTTGTTTTTTTTTAAGACAAAAGATGTCAATGTACAGTGGGTTTCTTCTAAACTAAAACCTCAGGATTCAAGTTTAATTGCAGTGTTGGTACTTCGTGATAAATAAGTGGGTTTTTGTTTTTGTTTTTTGTCTTTTTGAGACAGGGTCTCGTTGTGCAGTTCAGGCTAGCCTTCAACTCACTTTGTAGCCCAGGCTGGTCTTGAACTTGTGACGATCCTCCTGCCTCAGCCTCCTGAGTGTTGGGATTACAGGCGTGCGCCACCATGCCCGGCTCAGAATAAGTGGGTTTTGGGTTGTAGTTTGGCACTGGTTCACCATCACTGCTGTACATATTCAGTTACTCACAGTGGCAACAATGATATCACAATCTCTTCACATCACCAATTTCTTACACTCTCATTGGCACCTCACCCCCTCTACCTCACATGCCCCTCCAACATCACTCTTCCCTCACAACATTCCAAACACCTCCCACTGAAACACAGACAGATCTTTACTAGACCTAAGTCCCCGAGGCTAGGAACCAGCTCTTATATTTCTTTTGAGGGCCGAGTGAACACAGCTTAGTATAAACAGAATTCAAGAAACATATGCTATCAAGGATAACCATCATATACCCTTCATCACATTTTT